TCTGAGCTATGCCTGAGATGGAAGCTTCTTCAGCTGTGGAAGGAATTTGCCATTTACCAGAGGAGGACCTTTATAGCTTGTCACAGCTTTCAATCATAGCTTTAGCTTTTGATTCTTTAACAGTGGCACATGGGAGCAGGAACATTTTGCATAACCACTTAGCTCAACCTTCCAAGTCGCCTCTGAAAGGAGTGAGGGAGCAGTTTATGCCGGCATGATAGGAAAGAACACTCTGTACTGGTGTTAATAATATCTGCATATAGTTTGCATAACTGAAATCCACAATCATCTTCTTTCCAGCCTTATTGAAATATATTTGACATGTAACACACAATAATATCTATAATATCTTCATCTTAGTTTTGCTTCAGAATTACTTTTCTACCATCCCTGTCCCTTACAAGTAATGTGTACCAACATTGGTTTGATTTTAACTTTCCATTTTTTTCTTTTAGTTTTTTTTTTTTTTTTTCCCCTACAAACACGAATTGAGCCCCCATTCTGTGTCTGTGCTACATCTCTGGAGGTCCAGAGAACAAAAAATAATGGCTGAAGGTTTTTCAGAGTTGTAGAAAAACATGAGACCTCAGATGGAAAAATCATGGCGAATCTCAAGGAGGGTAAATAAAATAAATCTACAACTGGAGTGACTTGGCATAATGACAGTGTACCCAAAATAAATAGAAAATCTTAAAAGCCCAGAGAAAAGACAGATGAAGGACTGTGCAGCTTACATTTCTTAGCTGGAGCCGTTGATCCTATGCCTATCATTCGAGTAGGAGACTGAAATAAAGACCTTTTCAGACATACAGAGAATGGCAGAATTTTTTACCCTCAGACTTAAACTAGAAGAATGACTAACAGGCAGACTTTCGCAGGAAGGAAATTGAATCCAGGAGTAAGTTACGCTATTACAGAACAGTGGTGCCTCAGACAGATTGGGCTCATTAATAACCATCTAAACAAAATGGCTGCCTCTGTCTTAGGATTTGAGGACAAACAAGATGTTTTTCCAACTGAGTGTATAAGTACTTAGACTTGGCACTGAGGTTTAGAATTCTTGTGTTTGTGATGAATGATTTTCACTTCAGGCAAGGGTCTGGAATTCAAGCCATCCATGAACATCTTAAAATTATAGGTGACATATTTTGTGCATGTGTAATTTTTCTGCAGATGGGATTCATGGCTTTCATCAGGCACTTAAAGGGGCTTAGAACCTGAGCAAGCTTAAGAACTACTGGATCAAGAAACTGTCCCCTATTGAAATGAAATTACATTGGTACCTGCCCCGAAGTTGAGAAATGATGACCTGAATTTGAATAAGGATCTCTGCAGCACTCTTGAGACCCCAGACAAATGATATTTCTTCTCCCTGTAGTCCATCTGTGCAGTGCACAACCTATGTGTCTGTACATGGCCGTGATGTGTCTTATAAATCACAGTAAGGGTTTGATTATAGCTCTTAGGATTTCTGAAGGGAGTCAGTATTGAGCTATCAGAAGAAATAAAGCTTCTAAGTGACCACTTTGGGGATGTAATCATAGGTTTAGTGCTGCTGTTTTGTTAATGGAGAGCATGTTTTGTGTAACACATTGTCCAGGTATGCGGGATGGGGAGGGTGTTGTGTTCAATCACTCTCTCTCCTGATGAGATTTGATGCTAAAACAACTATTAATGGGTGACCTTGCATAACTTGTGTTTTTATAATACAACTGTAATGTATGCTAGAAATGTGCATTTTGTATGTAATTTTAATTCCACCTCTCCACTCCTTCAGTAGTTACTTGTTGAGTGCTAGTGTCAGGCTGTTTACTGCACAAGTAAGGTCATGGGTATAGGGTTGAATATGGTGGTGCTGTCCCTGAGGATTACTTTGAATTAGGATGGAGGGTGGCAGGCCGTCACCAAATCCTCAGTCCCGGTCTAAGACCCAGTCAGGTCCAGAGAAAGCCGTGTTGCCGAGAGCCTGACGCGTGGGGATCAGCCCATCTGGGCGTAACTCCGAACAGAGCAGCGCGCACACTTGGAGGACAGCAGTGGGCTGTCCCAGACCGCCAAACAATTAGGTTATAACTCAACCATGGGCCTCCTCAGACAGCACAGACATCAAAACGTCTGCTTTATGTGTAGAGTGATGATCACAGTAAGACGATCTGCTTCTGAAGCCGTTAACGGTCTTCCTCCAAAGCCCAGGCAGGGGTCTCCTTGTGGCTCTGCAGCACCCCAGGCAGGGATGAAGCATCCTAGCGCTGGGACGGGGGCTCCCTGTCCTGCTGGGAAGGAGACAGTCTCCAGTTCCATTTCCTCTGTCAGGACACAGGTGTCTCTTCGAGGGCCCAGGAGGTGGTTTGTCAAATGCTTAACAAAGGTATGGAGAAAGTTGATATGCCTCTTAAAATGGGCCTGGATTTCCTTCTTCATTGGCGGCATCTCCCTTTTTTTGTGTGTCATGTTGGGAAATTCTCAGTTTGAGTTGATCAAATCATAATCTCTTCTTATTTTAGAAGAAAAACACCCATAGAGAGCTTAAATGTAGGGATAAGGACAGCTAGGGTTTTGAGATGGGGCTTTTGTGAAAATTTGGAATTTGAGTGATAATGTAGTCTGGTCTCTGGCCAGCCAGCTTTCCATCCCTGGTTATTCGCAATTATATTAGGACAATTAGATTCTAACTCAAACTTCTGCAAACTCATTTAGAGAGATAAGAAATTCATTTCACTGCATTGTACTCTAAATTGTAAATGAGGCTCAGGACTGATTGTTTAATAGGTTGGAGTTTTAAATTGAAATTTTCTCCCATGTTATTTTATGTCTATATGATTCACCGTAAAGATTGGTTTAAAAAGTTTAAAAATGTTGATGCCGTTTTGTTCTCTTCAGTTAAATCGAGGTTACTATTTTTAAAAAATTGATTCTGGCTTCTTCTTTCTATCCCTCAAACTACCACTTTCTTTGCCATTCCTAGCACTATTTGAAGAGTTTTATGTAGCCTAAAAATAGAGTAAAATAAGCACAATTTTATTTTTTTTGGAAAAGCTAAAGAAAAGCATAGTTCATGCTATTCTTCCCTGAAAAATGGGAGCCCAAGCGTCTGATCCCATGTTTTTATTATCAGGTTACACATACTTTGAGGTAAATCTATGTGATGAAAGTAATAGCTCTCTTGACCGTGTGCGTGAAGCGTGTATGTGCATATGCATGCAAGCACACATGCTGTCACTTGCCATGTGTGTGGACGTTTGCAAGAGCTTGTTTGAGCAACAGTAGGTTTGAATTGGCTGATGGAATGAACAGCAGGGCCTTCCTGTCCATAGAAGGCTGCCTCTCGTCTTTTCTCTAAAGTGTTTCATTGTCTGTTCTTTTCCTGGAAGCCAACAGGTCTTTTTGCTAGCTCCATGACAGGGAGAATGACTCGTGGCTGTCTTGCTTGTGCTTCTCCAGGGTCTTTGCTGCAGGGAGAGGGGAAGTGTGTTGGCTCTGATTCTAGGTCTCCTGGTGAGGCAGGTGGGGGTGAGGGGGCAGAACATCAGCCCCGAGCTCCATCACTGCCATGGCTCCGTGTGTGCTCTGAGTTGAAGATGTAATGGGTTTAGCTTGCCTTCTGGTCCTGGGACACTTGGATCACTCATTTAACCCACATTCAAGTGTCTGTCCTGTGCCAGGCACAGCCCGAGGAGTGTGCAACACATGAGTGAAAACCCAAGATTCACTGTACTCCTGGAGCTTACATCAGCTCCTTAATAACTTTCGGTTGCCCCCACTTCTGGAGTGAGGGTCATTTCCCCAAGCTGTGGAAGTATTCATGCACTTACCTTTTTTGTTTTTGCTTTTAGCTCCTAATGTAGCATAACAGATGAGTAAGAAGACATCATTGCTGCCCTCAGGGAATTTGTAAGAGAGAGACAGACATGCCAGCGTGTAAATGCGTCACGACCCAGCAGGCCGAATACAGGCTATAGGAAATGCAGAGGCAATGACTGGGGGAAGGTGGAAGGAAAGAGGGACATGATCTTTGTGATAGGGGTGCCTGCCATTCAGCTCAGCCTTGTGGTCACCTGCGAGCACATGGGGGTCTGGCAGTGGGCCGAGGAGATGGGCTTAGTGGGCTATGAGGGTGGAGGGGAGGGACGAGCAAGGCCAAGTGCCCAGAGGCCACGACTGTAAGCAGACGGGTCAGAGTGTCCCGGTTGGTGGTGACATGACATCCCCACTGTTCTAGAATAGCTGATGGCCGTGTGAGATGCACTGAGAGCAAGAGCTGGGGGCAGGGAGATGGCGAGATGATTTTCTTTCATTTATTCTTTTACTCATTCAACAAAGACTTAGCTGGGGCTTGCCTTGAATTTATAAGCTTGAGTTGCCAAGCTTAGATGCTACTTTAAGAGGAATGGAGCCAATTTAATGCCCTAACTCATCTTTCAAGCTAGAAGTTTACAGTTTTGTTTCTTTTTGCTGAGTGACCAAAAGGTACCTACGAAGACAACTTCAGGGGGACGGGTGTGGACATTCTAGTCTCTCTCCTCTGCTGGGTTTCTCCTGCTCTTTGCCTCACTCATCAGCGGTGAATAAAAATGCAGCAGTCTGCTCTATTACACGGATAGCTAGTGGGCCTCACAGTGGCTGCATAATTCAAGATGTAATTCAGAGAAAACTGGTTTCATTTATGTTTTGAGATAAGAGCCACAGAGAAAAACTGGAAGAAACAGAATGTGTTGTCTTGACCAAACACTTCCATTGCTCTGGAAGGAGCCAGCCCACTTCTCTTGGCCAAGGAAGGACACTGCATCTTAAACACGTGGTGGTTGTTATTCATTGTACCTTTTTTTTTAAGGTAGGAAACGTTCTTTGGACGGCGTTAAATGCCGCACAGCATAAAGGACGTGATACAGAACAAAGCCTGCAGACTGTGACAAATTGACATGCCCCGGACTAATGAGAAGACGGAGTGTATCTACTCAGAGGCAGAACAAATACTCACAAAGGGTCTCCTTCTCTCCTAGGACTTCCTTCGCTGGGCATCTGGCCGGGATTCTTGTTGGACTAATGTACACTCACGGGCCTCTGAAGAAAATCATGAAAAAATGTGCAGGTACAGAACAAAAACACCTTTGGCCTGACAACGGGCTGGAAGTTCATCTTAATTTTAACGGAAACAGAGGTAACCCGAGGTTTCCCTGTGGTTCCACTTAGGAATTCCCTAATAGGCTCTTTTTAAACCAAGAGGCAAAACAGCTGGTGCAGTTCCTCATACTGCTCCAAAGAAAAGGCAGCAAACCCAAATTGTAAACCTGAAGCTTTCTTAAGAGACAAATAGCAGTATGTTTACCTTCAGCAGTAACGGCGCTCACAGAAAACCGCAATTTTCTTGAAAATACAGAGAACTAAAGTGGGTTTAAAATGATGCATTCTTCTGTAGTATTCCACGAATTAATATATGTGCAAGGCAGAGTTAAAAAAGAAAAACAAATCTGTACTGAAGTGCAAGGCCAGTACTTGAAAGAAGACAGAATGACCGTTAGGTTCTCGGCAGGCAAGATGAATATTCATGCATGGCTAGAGCAAGTCTCCTATTGCTTGAAGCATGTCTCCTGCTTTTAAAAGTTTTGTTGTTGGCTGTTTTGTTTTGTTTGGCTTTTTTCCCTGTCAAATTGATGCTCAATGAAAATACTTTATTTAGAAATATATGAATTTCGGGCGCCTGGGTGGCTCAGATGGTTAAGCGTCTGCCTTCGGCTCAGGTCATGATCCCAGGGTCCTGGGGTCGAGTCCCGCATCGGGCTCCCTGCTCCTTGGGAGCCTGCTTCTCCCTCTGCTTCTCTCTCTCTCTCTCATGAATAAATAAATAAATCTTTAAAAAAAAAAAAAAAAGAAATACATGAATTTTTTAGCCCTCTTAATTTAAAATGCTATACTGGCTTTGACTTATAGGAAAACTATTTTGCAAACACTTGTTTTATAGACCATATGAGTTCCAATATTTCATCTTTTATTCATGGGAAATCTTCTGAGACTATTTTACCTTTCCTTGAACCATAAATAATTTGTTTTCACAGTTTGTGCCGGCGACTGGTATTCTTGAGGACTATATAATATTCATGATATTAGAAAGCTTTCCAGGCACTGTGCTGCCATCTTTATTAGTGGGTTGTGTTCACTTTCAGATGATTTTTACAGGCTCTGTTGCCTCTAAACACATTCCCATTTTCCTACCTTTGCTTATTACTGTGTTTTCAATGTGTGTGCTTGGAGGAGGCAGCGGGAACTGCATTTATTGAAAATGTCCAGTTCCATTATATTTTTGATACAACTTAATTGTGGAAATCTAGTAATGAGCTTTGTTGCCCAAATGCTCTCTTTTCGAATAAAGGAAAGGAAATAATTCTTGGGAGTTTAATGTTCTCTTTCATTTTCTATGTGTGTCTGAAGTTGAAGTGGTCTGTAAAGCCTTCTGCAGACATTTTATGGAATTTAGGGGAGTATTTTGATTTTAAAGAGGATTTCCCCCACAATTACACCATTTACACTCTTAGCTTTCCTTCTTAAATTAACCTTGCCTACCTTCTATGGAGACTTACTTTTTACATCGTGTCCTTTTCAAAGTAATCCAATAGAAAATTGGACATGAAAAGTCAAAACAAACACTCAGTGCTATTTACAAATAGCCCGAAATCTCTCTGCCTTTTTTTTTTTTCTTTTCTTTTCCGGGGAAGCCTGAGAAAGTTCTAGAGTGACCTGAGAATTGAGGCAACACAGGAAGCCTGTGGAAAAGAGCCAAGTGTACCAAGCTGTTGTCTGACAGCTCCTGTAGAAAAGCAGCATTACGCTGAGGGTGTGCCTCTTGCACCCACTGTCTGTCCCTTCAGCAGAGCTGAATTGACGGTCGGTCGTACTGCCCTTCTAGGGACAGAGGAAGAAGAGTAAGAACCATGGCTCCTCTAACAGTCTTGTTGGGGGCAAGTCCTCTGGATAGCCAGAGCATCTCTGCTGGGATGGGGCCTCAAAGCCCAAGCTCAGCACCTCAGAAGGCAAAGACCCTCTTAGGTCAACAGAAACCTCTCAGGAACTGCAGAAAGAATTGAAGAGTTTCAAGGTTCCCCACATTCTGTTCCCTAGAGGGCTAGCCCCAAACAAAAGGGAGTTTATTTATTTATTTATTTTTTAAGATTTTATTTATTTATTTGAGAGAGAATGAGAGAGAGCACATGAGAGGGGGGAGGGTCAGAGGGAGAAGCAGACTCCCTGCTGAGCAGGGAGCCCGGTGCGGGACTCGATCCCGGGACTCCAGGATCATGACCTGAGCCGAAGGCAGTCGCTTAACCAACTGAGCCACCCAGGTGCCCAAAAGGGAGTTTATTTTAACAGTTGTTTAGAAATCATTTGAAGTGACTTGGCTTTGTTATAAAGAACCTCCTAACTGTTGGAAGGATTATCAGTTACTTATGGCTGTTTTGTTCCATTGGTTGATGTGTCTGTTCTTATGCCAGGGCCATACTGTTTTGATTACTATGGCTTTGTAATACAGATTGAAGTAGGGAAGTGTTAGGACGGCTGCTATCAGAAAGACAGGAAATAAGCAATGGTGAGGATTTGGAGAAAGGGAAACCCTTGTGTACTGTTGGTGAGAATGTAAATTGGCACAACCATTGTGGGACACAGTATGGAGGTTCCTCAAAGACTTAGGACGACCTTATGGTATAGCAGTCCTACTTCTGAGTATATATTCAAAGGGAAATGAAATCAGTGTCTCAAAGAGAGATTCGCACTCCCAGGTTCATTACAGCATTATTCAGAATAGCCAAGAGAGGGTGAATGTCCATCAGATAAATGGATAAAGAAGATGTGGAGAGAGAGAGAGTGTGTGTGTGTGTGTGTATGATGGACTTACTCAGCTATAAAAATGAAAGAAATCCTATCGTTTGTGACAAAATGGATGAACCCAGAAGACATCATGCTAAGTGAAATAAGAGAAAGACAAATACTAAATGATCGTGCTTATATGTGGAATCTAAAAAAGGTGAGCTCTAGAATCAGAGGGTACAACAGTGGTTCCCAGGGGCCGGGGACATGGGAGAAATGGGGAGATGTTGGTCAAAGGGTACACATTTCTAGTTACAAGATGAATAAATTATGGGGGTCTAATGTACAGTATAGTGACTACAGTTAATAATATGGTCTTGCATACTTGAAATTTACTGAGAGTAGATCTTATGTTTACACACGCACAATATGGTAACTATGTAAGGTAATAGGGTATTAACTTGATTGTTGTAATCATTTCATATGTGTGTGTATATCACATCATCATGAGATACACTTTTTAAGGATTCATGTTACACAACCTGAATACATGCGGTTTTTTATTTGTCAGTCAGACTTCAATAAAGCTGGGGTGGGGGAGTCCTTAGGGCTACAATTAAAATGTCTGTTTCCTTCATTTAGGCATTTTTTCCTTCAATATGCATTATTACGGACATCAGGACCACTTTAATAGTTCAGGTAAGCACTTATTTGATTTAATGCACTCTATCTTCAAAACTCCTGGTGTTTGCCGCCATCGAGCTGTGAAGGGTGATACCAGCTTGGCTGCTGTGGGGTCGTCTGCACTTACATACTCATGCCACTACCATGCGTGGAAGCTAGATGGAGCCAGACCCCAGGGAGATATTTGGGTGAACTGGTAGAGAAGGCCAGGGAAGGAGGTCACTCTCGCCTGAAGGTATTGTATGATTGGTATGAGGTCTCTCAACTATGGTAAGATTCAGACTAGACCTGGGTCCCTTGATGCTCAGTCTGCAAGTCCAGACTGCCTGCTGAGTGTTAGAAGTCAGTTTCTGATCTACGATTCTCCACATTCCACCCCACCTACACATTCAGGAAGAATCACGCCTAACCTCCGAGGCTAAGATAGGCATTCCTCTAAGAGTTGATGCCATGTGACTTAAAGAAGAGAATATATTTTTTCTAGATGTCTTTGCAAATATGTAGAAGGGACTTCCTGTTCAAGCATCTGCCCTGTTTTAGACGAAGGCCCTTACATTCCATGCTGGGGAGGCTGCCCTCCAGTTCCCAGGGCCAGTTCCAGCAGGTAGGAGTTAGAGAAGCCGTAGGCTATGGAAGTCTGGGTGTCTTTTATAGTCATTCCATTGGAGGACCGTTTGATCCCTCTAGCGCTTGTTTTTAAGTCCTTTAAGGTGGGTCTAAAGTAACTTTTATTCTAGGGTTAATTCTGTGCTGCTATTGAGGTATCACTTTTCTGGGATCTCTCCTAAATGGGCTCTCTGTTCTGGTTGGTTGAAAAGCGAAGGTCTCCCAGCCCCACCCAAGCTCCTAGAATTGTTCAGCTCATAGCTCTTTGTCATTCTTTGTCTGGTCCTGTGGCACTTCACTCACACATGTGTGGCTTAATAATTCAGCAACATCTCCAGGCAACCCCTGCAGATTTCTGAAGGTCTTTCTGTACACTTAGTTTTCTCCTTTGCTATTCTCTGCCCTGCAAATTTCAGCTCTGCTCTAGGAGTCTGTTGCATCTGCTGTGTCCCCTGTCCCTATACCACAGTCTAGAAAGTACCTCCAGGCTCCTTTTCCTTTCTCTCAACGTTCAAAATCTTGTATTGCCTGTTAGACGATGTCTGAAAACGTTTGTTTCATATATGTTCTCCAGTTTTCTAGCTGATTATGGTGGAAGGGCTAGTTCAGTCCCAGTTACTCCTTCTGGCAGAGGTAGAAGTCTAGTTCTGCAGTATTAGCAGTGTTCAGCCTGAGAGGGAGGAGTAGTGCAGGTTAGTGCAGGTTATTCAGAGGAAGTGGAGGGCAGGGTCTTGAATGAGTAAGTAGAAGTTAAGGAAAGCAATGGGGAAGAAAGGGCTTTTCAGGCTTTTATTAAAGGGCCTGTTTGAGATTATCCAGAATGTGCTGGAGTGCTACTGAAGGATTTAATCAGTGGAGTAATACTATTGGAGTTACATTCAAGCTCTGTTTTTTATGTAGTTATAAAGGCTTGGATCATGATTATCAATCCTGGCTATATGTATGAATCTCCTGAGGATTTTTTTTTCTTTAATATATTCATGCCTTGAATTCATCCCAAACCAATTAAATTAGAATGAGGGTAGAGACAGGAACTTGGACTTCTTTTTTTTCCAAAGCTTCCCAGGTGATTTTAATGAGATCAAGAACAGAGGCCTAGATGATGGGGTTTACCTAGACCTGGGGGCCACAGAAGTGAATACTGTTGATGCCCAAGAAAAGCCTCACTTCTGAGGCTTTTGCCTCTGCCAATCTGAATGATTAAAACACTAGAAATGTGGTCTTGGTGCAGGAGAGGAATGGTTGTTGGACAGTGCCAGCTCACCTAAAGAGAAGGGTGATGATTAGTTATTGACTAAGCTGATAAATACACTCATTTTGAAGAGTGTCCATTCCTTTTTGTTGTTGGTCCTGGACACCAAGCTTACACTGACTTAAGTATAAGAGCTTTATTGGCCTATGTGACTAGGAAGAGGTGAGTTGGACAGGAAGACCATATTGGTTCTCTCTCCCATTGTGATTTCTCACTTCTTATTGACTTGATTTTCTCCACTTCACAGGGAACATGGCCCCTAACACCTGGAAGTTGGTAGAGGATAAAGGGCTTTTCGCCTGGTTGATTTATTAAATCCCCAAAAGTAACAGAAATGTTCCTCTGGACAAAGAGAAAAAGAACATAACTGTGCACATACATGCCTTAAACTGTTGTAGATTCCCTAGTCCTAACGTCTTATGTGACAACAAGGAAACTGAAGTTTGGAAATGTTAAGTCATTTGGCTAACATCATACAAATAGTGATAAAACAGGGACCAAAAATGCAACTCACTGATTCCTAGCCTCTGCTTTTTATATATTACAGGGATAGGAGATGGCCGTTCTCCTGATTTATCCTTACGAAATAGGACAGTTCCCCTTACTGTCTTTTAGACTTTCCTTTTTTTTTTTTTTTGCATTTATTTAAAAAAAAAGGAAAAAGGGAAACATCTTTTCCTCCTCCGTGTGGAAGAGGCATAAGCCTAGCAGGCACAGACCATAGAATTAAAGGCAAAAATAAAAGCCCCTTTTACCTTTCTCTCTTATCCCCTGTAAGATTATCATATTTATATTCCTTCCTCTGAAGTGACTGGATTTCTTCAAAAGCAGAGCTACATAAGGACAGGTGGCCCTGCTAATGTTCATCTAGGGAACTTGTATGAGAGCATATGTATCTCTTACAAGTAATGATTTATTCTTAATATGGCCGTCCTTAGCTGGAAGAGTCTTTATAGGTCAAAGAACCTCATGAATGTTTAAAAAGCTGTTACCAATTTTTCTAATCTTGGTGGTGTTTCTTGATCTCTTTTGCCATGAAATCCTGGTATGTGTATAAGGAACAGATGGAGTAGTTAATAGAATAATGATAACCAGAATTTCTTTTACTACAGAGCCAAAGTATATAGCTACAAAAGAATATTAAACTGCTGTTCATTGCAGGATATAATTAAACTTACTTATCCTAAGTGTTTGATTGTTGGGTTTTTCCAACCGTGTTTATTATGAAGATTTAAAAATATCTGATTGGGCCAGAGGAACAGCTGAAGAAAATTTTTTGTCCTAGGAAACCTTCTCTCATTATAATAGATATTGATAGGAGTTTTGATCTTCTTGATGATTTATGACTGATGATATAGAACTTTTAACCACACTAGTCTTTTTGACTTAACACGGTGAAGCTTTCCCTTTTTTCCCCCCATGTTTTGTCTGACAAGTACCAAATTAGATTTTATAATATTCAGATGTTTAGAGTTGTAGACCTTATTTCATTAAGGTCATGCTGTGTTGTTTTTTAAATAAGAAATAACATGAAGAAAAGTTTTTCTGTGTCAAGAAAATATTGCCTCAAATTATAGCGAATTTACCTGGCAGTTGAAACTCTATAGATGTATGCAGTATTTCTGATATCTGTATAGATGGGTATTCAGAGCTTTGGGGTTATTTTGGGTTCTGAGTGAGCTGAACATTTTCGAGGGTAGATAGGTAGAAGTCCTGCTTAGACCCTTCTATAATAGAATGACTTTCCACAGGGGTTTGAAAGTGGTAATTGGCACTCTTAGGGAATTAGGCAGTCTCTCTGTTCAGGGATTGCTGAAGCATACCATGGTGTTCAGCGACTTTTCCATAAGTATTCTATTATGTTTTGGAATGGTTGCCCCTTTCTTTTGTTCTTTGTGAAGTAGACATATTGATTGTATTTTAACCATTTGCCCTTATAATAAAGGTTTTTCGTTGTTGTTGTTTTGGTGGGAAATCTAGAAAGCAGTATTTGTAACAGTGCCATAGTCTTCTTTACTCTCAGGATACGAAACTTGCTGGTGGGTGTTCCCCAACATAGCAGTGGAAGCTAACTTTTTTTTCATGGGTCTGTTGAGTAGAGACCAATTTGAGGAAGGTTGTTGATTTTTAAATTGGAATCCAGATCCAACTTCAGTCCTACACTAGTGTGAGGATTTGGGAAATTTACTTATATCCTTCCCCTGTTACAAATATCATGATGTTAATATTCTGACATGGGAAACAGGAGAGAGAATGTGGAAGTTGGGTTATTGGAGGTATTTAGTAAATTCCCACTAATTTTTACTACTTCGGGAGCAAGCCTTGTCAGAATCAGTCCCCCAAATCCTGAACAATTTTATTTAATGTTTATTTAAATCACTCACTTTGTGACTTTCAAGGACATTGTAAAATATTACCAAAAAAGAAGAGTGTTGTAATAATCAGTAAGAATGGGCAAGGGCTCTGAATAGACTGCTGTCCAAAGAAAGATGTACAAATGACCAATAAACCTGTGAAAAGATGCTCCATCTCATTAGTCATCCAAACCATAATGAGGTACCACTTACACCTACTAGGATGGCTATAATTACAAAGATAGATAGTAAATGGAGAAATCTGAACCCATTAACATAGCTTTGTGGAAATGTAAAATGGTACAACTTTGGAAAACATTCTGGCAGTTCCAAATGGTTAAACATAGAAGTTCCATATGACCCAGGAATTCCACTCTTGGTTATGGACCCAAGAGAAATGAAAACATATGTCCATACAAAAACTTGTCCATGAAGGTTTATAGCAGCATTATTCACAAGAGTCCAAAGGTGGAAATAACCCAAATGTCTTATCAATTGATGGATGCTATATAATCATGCAATGGAATATTATTTGGCCACAAAAAGGAGTGAAGTACTGAATCATGCTACAACATGGACGAACCTTGAAAATGTTATGTAAAATGAAATAAGCCAGACACAAAACACCACGTGTTCTATGATCCCATTTATATAATTGTCCAGAATAGGCATAGATAGCTATAGAGACAGAAGATAGATTAGTGGTTACTTAGGGCTGGGAGGGATGGGGGATGATAGCTAAAGGGTACAGTTTTCTTTTGGGGGGTGATGAAAATGTTCTAACATTGATTGTGGTGAGGGCAGAACTCTATGAATATATACTAAAAGCCATTGAACTGTACACTTTAAATTGATGGATTATATAGTATGTCAATTATGTCTCATTAAGGCTGCTCTAAAAACATAACCAATAGACACATATAACATGACAGATATTTATTATAAATGTGTATAGTTACATTAGATTATCAGCTGAAACTAGATCAGTGTGTTTTATTATCATTTCATTGTTTATATGAAAATACTTTTGGAGTACCTGAAAATTCTTATGGGAAGGAGTTAAACTGTTTCCTTTTTAATCTTGCATTTTATTTATAACCAGCACAAAAGTAAACTTTAAAATAGCCTCAGGACAGGGGCGCCTAGGTGGCTCAGTTGGTTAAGCAGCTGCCTTCAGCTCAGGTCATGATCCCAGGGTCCTGGGATTGAGCTCCACGTCCAGCTCCCTGCTCAGCGGAGAGCCTGCTTCTCCCTCTCCCTCTGCCTGCCACTCTGCCTACTTGTGCTCTCTATCTCTCTGTCAAATAAATAAATAAATAAATAATCTTAAAAAAAAATAAAATAGCCTCAGGACTAATTATCAAATATTCTGAATATTAAATCTTAATTAACCAGATTCTGCTGTATACTGTTCCTCTTTTTGGTCTTGTTATGTGTGTGTGTGTGTGTGTGTGTGTTTTCCTTTAGTCTTAAAGCAATAAGAAATTTAGACTCAGGTGTGTACTCTGTTGATGATATGGAGACCTATGACACATGACTCAAAGGGTAGGAATGTTCATCAACAACAAAAAGCACATTAATTAACTATTTGAAAACTCATCCCCAAAGGATATGATAATGGAAGAAAAGAAGGAATAAAGCTAAACAGACTCTTCTCTCTCATTACACCAGAATTAGACTGGTAATCTTTTGGGGGAAAAGATTCTCTTCCAAACAAACTACATAAAAGTGGGCAGTTAAAGAAGATGTAAGGAGTAAACTCAAACCAACTTGAAAAGATTGATGGAAACACCTTGCAAAAGTGAACTCTGCTCTGTAATTGACCTTCATTAATGGGATATGTAAGTCTGATACTTAAAACATTATTTAGTGAGCAGGTTGTTTCTTCTCTCATTTTATCTAGCAACCAATTTCTTGAAAGTGCTATTAATAGAAACTATGTTCTTTGACATAAAATTATAATTATAGAGACATCGCCTTGTATATCTCAATGTAGTTATTACTGTCCAAAGTATCACACCCAGCACAGAAATCCTGCAGTATCTGCATTAAATGTTAATCTGCCTCTCATAGTATGGAGCCACCAGACAGAAATGCTTGATCAACTATTATTTCAACCATTCCCTTGACCCTAGTCAGGACTTTACAGAAAATACTCCAAGTAGTGTATAGCTCTAAACTGCAAGAATCCACTCCAGATGAAAATAGCTCATACCAGCCCCTCTCCAGTACCCCTCAGACCTTCTAAATTAGTATCTTCTTCCTCTTCAGCTCACAAGGACTCACACATGTCCAGTCCCACGCTGGGCACTGTTGGTGCAACAGTGATAAAACTGTCATTGCCCACGGTCATGGAGGAATTCTCCATTTGTCATCTTTTCTTATTTTGATTATTACTATAATCAGCATGATGACAGATTATTTTATTGTGTTTGCTTACAAATGGGAAGAATGGCAAGAACAGTACACAGCCGTGCTCTATAACCTTTCCCTTGTGCCTGTAGGCTACTCCAGGTATCAAGATTATTACCCATATGGCCAGCCAGGTTACTCTGAAGACATACCCAGGAACTATGATGCATACACAGCAGGACTGAGTGAGGAGGAACAGCTAGAGAGAGCATTAAGAGCCAGCCTCTGGGACCGAGGTAGGAATTTTGCGCCCTTCACTTATTTTAAAGCATACCTCACATGGTGAGATGGTCTGAAGAAGGACTATTTGTAGCAAATTAAACTTTAAATGGTTTATAAAAAGGATATGTAGATGAAAAAAAATGTGTGCAGATTGTGATTACAAAGAATGGGATGTGATGCCATATTCCCAGCAACCTAAGCTAATAAGGTGCCAGACTATGTATGTATTGTTAAAGTTGTTCTTTTTTAGGCCTGCTGCGCTCCTCAGTGCCTTGGCATTAAAGTTAAGAAACTTAAAAAAAAAAAATCTTAGGTGTGTGAAAAAAGGAGTTTACTTTGGACTTCGTATCTACAAAGCAGGCTGTATGTCACTGTGTATATCAAAGTGTTGCCTGCAAACCTTCCCCAAAGTCACATGGACAGCTTGGTAGGAATTCAAACTTAGGGTTCTACTCCAGACCTACTGAACCGATCTCTTTGGGGGCAGAGCCTAGGAATTTGTATCTTCAACAGGCCTTCCAGAAGATTCTTTTATAGACTGATATATGAAAACCACTGTATTTATCGTGCCATCTTTGGCATGGGGTTGACTTACTACTGTTATTCTTGTTTTAGTAGTGACAAAAAAACCATCCATTCGTTCAGTAAGCATTTATGAAGGTCTTACTATGTTTTGCGGTCTGCGTTAGGTACCATAGGGAATACAGACAGGTAAAAGATGTACTCTCCCTCAAAAAGTTCACAATCTCAGGTAGAGGAGTTGCCTGCTAGATGCATGGACATCTAGATGCATGGACAGTGGACAGGTAAGCATAGTATCAGGTGCTCAGGTGAGAGCACTCAGCTACGGGAGGCCCAGGCTAATTGCTAGATCCAGGGAGAAGGGGTGAGCTCTTCCTTCACTAGACCTACCAGACTCTCACAGAAGACTCAGACCTTCAAGAATGTGTCACATTTACAGAGATGTGGGGAGAGTCAATATCACACAGACAGGAAGTAAGGATGTGGTCAGCCAGCCCTCACTTTGGAACGGAGCCTTAAGAGAAGAAGGGGAAGAAGAGTGGGGAGCGAGGCTTCGGCCTGATCACAGAGGTCCTAGAATCAAGTAAGCCAGGTGGAAAATGGACCTGGTATGTCCTGTAAGTGCTGGTAGGGTCCTGCATCGGGAGTGATGTGACCAGAGCTGTGCTTTATGAATCTGGCAACAGTGATTCCACAGACAAGGACTGAGCACCTGTGGGGGGCACCGGGCATTATGCTAGATGGTAGGAATGCATACATTATGGCAACCTGGCCTCTGACTTTAGAGAACACAGTCCAGAGCAGCAGCGTCCTGGAGGTAGAATGACAACAGCAGTCTGAACAAGGAATAAAAGCCCAAATGAGGAAGGGGGCAGGGGCGTGGTGGGGAATGGAGAGGAAGAGATAAGTCAGTATTCCTTGGGTAAAGAGCATCAGAATTGTGGTGTATAAGTCATCTCTAACTACGTAACGAATCACCCTGACATGGCTGAAACCAATAAACATTTTTTCTTGCTCTTGAGCATATGGGTCCGCTGGCCAAGCTTACAGGATCTTGGCCTGGCCCGTGTGCTAAGGGGTCTGCAGGGGGTCGCGTGGAGCTGGCTGCTCTGGGATGACCCCACTGACTTGCCTCACTGACTGTCATTGGAGGTGATGGTGGAGGTGAGGCCGCACACCCCACCTCGTCCAGCAGGCTGGCCCAGGCTCATCTGCCAGGCCTCAGGCCAAGGGTTCCAGGAGAGTAGAGACAAGCAAGCCTTGTGCTGCTGCCACGCCAATGCCACTGGATTTTGCTGCTGAAACAAGTGACCGCCCAGACCCATGGGATTCAGAAACACTCCGCCTCCTCATGGCAGGAGCTGCAAAGAGTATGGCTAGAAGGAAAAGTAGAGAATTAGGGCCATGCTCGTGGTCACTGTATCACATATACTCAGTGGTTTAATAGTATCATGATCGCAAGCAGCCTGCCTTAGCCTTCCTAAATTTGGGGGGTAGGGCCCCAGAGCCTGTACTAAAATAAATTTTCGTGGTTTTATTCCTATGCACACAGCAGTTTAATCACTACTAGGCGAGACAGGGAATATTACGGGACAAGTAAGGTTGGAGTAAATCTACTGAGCATGGACTTTGTACCAAGCTTCATTTAGGACCCCAAAGGGACAGTGGGAGGGAATTTTTTGAGGTGATGTAACTATTCTGTATCTTGATTATTGTGGTGGCTGCAAAACTCTGTGTTTGTCAGAACTCACTTACCTGTATATCACAAAGACCTGAATTTTCCTATCAAGAAATTTTAAAGAGGTAAATAAGAATTAATAAGGAACCCAATGAAATAACTGGTAGTCCTGCAAAGACCATCAAGGACTACAAAAACCATCACTTAGAAGGTTATTGAGAGACAGGACAGTGATAATGTATCACCTCATGGTGGAAGTGCTAATAACAAAGGGAAAGATGTCCCTTTGCAAGGGAGAGATTTGGCAGGTCGCCACCTAAATGCCGTGATCAAGCTCAGCGGTATTATCAGTGAGCTGGCCTGTTGCGTGTCTCCTGATACGATGCAGTCTGAGGAACATAGCATCAGGTTCTTGCTATAAGTGTTTAACCTGACTCTGAGTCTTCCAGTGTAAGCGTCAACATACTGGAAACACATGGGATAGAGGAACAAGCTGAGTAACACCATGGAGAAATAATCAGACAAAATATGGGATTTCTGCAATTCAGTGAGACTGGTCTCCTGGAGGGGAAAAAAAAATCCATGTCAAAAAGAAAAAAACAGGGTGTGGTTTTTATTAAAAGGACATAACAACCAAACATAACATGAAAACCTTGAAAAACTGACTATAAAAACATTTTTTTATAAAACGGGAATTTTGTATTTGGGTAGATATTAGAAGTTTTTAGGGAAGTAATCGGACTTTCTTGGATGTGATAATGGTGTTGCGGATAAGTAGCGGAATGTCCCTTATTCTTGGGAGATACACTGAAGTATTTAGAAGCAAAATAATGTGATGTCTGCAACCTACTTTGGAAGGTCAGCCAAGGCAACCCTGTCCTGTCTCTCTCACCAGCCTATGCACAAGTACTGTATTCAAATAAATATGGAAGACGCCGCAAAACTGTGAACATATAGCAAACTATACCCCGTTAAAGATCCAGAATATCACTGGTATACTAACGATTCTAATTAGTTCTGCAATTAGGAAACCAATTTATTAAATTAATGTTTTCTAAGAGCATATGGAACTAGTTCCAAGAAAACTGACCTAAGGAGACGTCGTGAAGTGTATTATATAGTAACAGGTGGCAAGAGAGAAATTAGCTTTACAAATTGTTTATATTAATTTCAGTTTTATTTTCTTTAAAACACTTTGTGATTGCCTTATTAAGAACAAGAAACCAAAGAGACATTGTTTTAAAGACCTTAAAAATTTTTTCCCTATTCTTATTTTTTTTATTTTTTTTTTTATTCTTATGTTAATCCCCATACATTACATCATTAGTTTTAGATGAAGTGTTCCATGATTCATTGTTTGTGCACAACACCCAGTGCTCCATGCAGAATGTGCCCTCCTCAATACCCACCACCAGGCTAACCCATCCTCCCACCCCCCTCCCCTCCAGAACCCTGTTTGTTTTTCAGAGTCCATCGTCTCTCATGGTTCGTCTACCCCTCCGATTTCCCCCTCTTCATTCTTCCCCTCCCGCTACCTTCTTCTTTTTTTTTTCTTAACATATATTACATTATTTGTTTCAGAGGTACAGATCTGAGATTCAACAGTCTTGCACAATTCACAGCACTTACCAGAGCACATACCCTCCCCAGTGTCTATCACCCAGTCACCCCATCCTTCCCACCCCACCCCCCACTCCAGCAACCCTCAGTTTGTTTCCTGCAATTAAGAATTCCTCATATCAGTGAGATCATATGATACATTAAAGACCTTAATATTTTTTATCCTTTTTTTCCCTATGGAAAAAATACTTGGTTTGAGTTTTATTTTATAAAATTCTGACCATATATACATACTATTCTGTACCTTACTTGCTTTCATTCAGTGTTATTTTGTAATCAGATTTTCATACCACTAAATGTTTTGAACGTACAGGTCCTCCGTGTATTATCTTAGATTTATACCTAAGTATGTTTTTTGGAGGGGGAGGTGTGCTATTGTAAATAGTAGTTTTTTAAAAAAATTCTATATGTTGAGATTATTACATATTTTTTCTTCTTTTTATTAGTGTTCAGTGGAGTGTGACCTAGGTGAGCAAGTGCTCCCATACCTCTTTAGACCTCTGTTTAGTTAGTTGTCTGACTGCTTCAACTCGTGATGGGTTGAGAAAAAGTCACTAATTTGCAGATTGTCTCACATTTATGTTTATTATAAGATAGGAGTGATGCTCTTCCTAGCTTTCTATACCCCAAAGGGAAGCTGGAAACATTCCTTATTCTTCATTGGGGTTTGAATCTGTCATTCTTAGTACATTTATTTACTACCTTTTTTTTGTTTTAAGTAAAGAAGATCTTTCCCTTATGAAGTAGGTAGAATCTATAGTCCTTTTTTAAACGCCTGGATAAATGCTTAATTTTTTCTCTTTGATTTCTAGTTTTCAGAGTAAGAAGTTAGTGTAATAGAGTAACACTGAGACTTCCGAGGGCCAACTAATAGAAATTCATTTGGTAGAATGCCAGTCCAGCAAGAAACATCCAGAGCCAATTAGTTTCAAACTGTTCTTTAGTTAAATATATTGGAGGAGTAAATTAAAGAATCAAGGTAGCACCTTTTTAAGTTCAGAATTTGCTGTTTTCATGGTCCCCACCAGTACCTGGCCATACAGGTCCAGAAGCTCATGCCGGAAATAGTAATACCAAAGTAGCCTTTGTAGGAGAAATCTCGAAATCCCTATTATTTCAAGGAACATGCACGTTTACTATTATCATCAGAAATCTTGTCTTGTTCTGTTGGCAGTCTCTGCTTTTATAAGCAAG